TGGGGACAACCCAAAATTTGTGATTTTCTTTTACTTTCAGTTTTGATGATAAAGGACAAACAGAGGGGGGGAATCTCCCTGACGGGGGGTACAGACAGCAATAAAAGCCTGACCAGTGTTCTAATCCATCTCCACTCCATCCAAAACTAAAAATTTAGGTTTGCCTTTAATTATATTGAAATAAATGAGAAACGTTGCATTTTTCATAACACTAAACCCGCAGCTGCTCATGAGGAAGGCAGAGAACACTTAAAGTGTTACTAAACCCCGGACCCCGCATTCACTATATCCGCTCTTCCCGGACCCCGCATTCACTATATCCGCTCTCCCCGGACCCCGCATTCACTATATCCGCTCTCCCCGGACCCTGCATTCACTATATCCACTCTCCCTGGACCCTGCATTCACTATATCCACTCTCCCTGGACCCCGCATTCACTATATCCTCTCTCCCCGGACCCTGCATTCACTATATCCGCTCTCCCCGGACCCTGCATTCACTATATCCACTCTCCCCGGACCCTGCATTCACTATATCCGCTCTCCCCAGACCCCGCATTCACTATATCCGCTCTCCCCGGACCCTGCATTCACTATATCCGCTCTCCCCAGACCCCGCATTCACTATATCCGCTCTCCCCGGACCCCGCATTCACTATATCCGCTCTCCCCGGACCCCGCATTCACTATATCCACTCTCCCCGGACCCCGCATTCACTATATCCGCTCTCCCCGGACCCCGCATTCACTATATCCACTCTCCCTGGACCCCGCATTCACTATATCCACTCTCCCCGGACCCCGCATTCACTATATCCGGTCTCCCCGGACCCTGCATTCACTATATCCGCTCTCCCAGGACCCTGCATTCACTATATCCACTCTCCCCGGACCCCGCATTCACTATATCCGCTCTCCCAGGACCCCGCATTCACTATATCCGCTCTCCCAGGACCCCGCATTCACTATATCCGCTCTCCCCAGACCCCGCATTCACTATATCCGCTCTCCCCGGACCCTGCATTCACTATATCCGCTCTCCCCGGACGCTGCATTCACTATATCCGCTCTCCCCGGACGCTGCATTCGCTATATTCGGTCTCCCCGGACCCCGCATTCACTATATCCGCTCTCCCCGGACCCTGCATTCACTATATCCGCTCTCCCCGACCCTGCATTCTCCCACAGTACACAGAACATGGAAATGCAATTATTTTATAAACTGCTAAATATCTTTTCTCATCAGCAGTATATAGCAGTCTTGTGACTTCTATCAGTGGTCAGGAGAGCTTGTAGGAGGAGTTTTCTTTCTGCTCTAGGAGGATGCAGAACCCCTGACCTCTGTCTGGAGAGTGCTGATTGGCCCTCCCCAAAAAATATATATATATATCTCTAGCAATACACACTAAACTGAGCATGTGCAGAGTGTCTCCACAGGATATGTCTTATCAGGAGATAAGAGGGGGGCAATGGAGGAAGGGGAGGATCAGAGAAGACAGGATCAAACAGCCTTTTTACACAATGCGGAGGATTAACCCCTTAGGTTCCACAGTGAGTATAACAAGCATGCTTTACTGCATCTACAGACTGATTTTACTTTCAATCATCAGAAAGGAGAAAACCCGGTCTTTGGTCATGTCCATGGGTTCCAGACTTCAGGCAGTCATTGTCAGTAAAGAATTCTCAACAAAATATTACAAATGAACATTTTATTTATGATTATATTCAACTGTCCAATTACCTTTGGTCCCTTGAAAAGGGGTGGGGGGGCTACTCTTAATCTGTAATCTTGAACTGTAATTGATAAATCCTTCCTCCAATGTGGATGTACATACCCTCAAATTAAACCAGAGAGTGTGCACTTTCACCCCATATCCATTCTATATCTATAGCTTCAGTATGTTTTGGTAAATACCTGAACAAACTGAAATTGTGCCTCTGTCCAAATATATAGGGACCTAATTGTATTTCCTCTTTTTCGGACCATTCTCTGTAAACCCTAGAGATGGTTGAGCCTGAAAATCCCAGTAGATCAGCAGTTTCTGGAATACTCAGACCAGCCCCTCTGGCACCCATAACCATGCCACATTCAGTCACTTAAATCCCTTTTCTTCTCCATTCTAATGCTCGGTTTGAACTTCAGCAAGTCGTCTTCACTACATATAGATGCCTCAATTCATTGAGTTGTTGCCATGTGATTTGGCTGATTAGCAATCTGTGTTACCAAGTAATTGAACAGAAGCACCTAATAAAGAGGTGATACTTGTAGTCAGGGGCGGACTGACCATTTGGGAACTCGGGCACTGCCCGAGGGCCCGGGGTCATAAGGGGGCTCCATGAGATGCCCCTGGTACCTTTTCATAGGCTTTTTTGGGTGTGGTTTGAGTGTTTGCAAGGACACAGGGGCCCCATGGTCCCCTATTGCCCGGGGGCCCCATGAGTCGTCAGTCTGCCCCTGCTACTTCTGTCTGCCTGATCCCCGAGCCTGTGGTGTTTAGTGCTAGTGCTGATTTCTATCCACACGCAGTACCTGATTTTGGCCAACAGAGGGCAAACTGTATCCAGTATGACTGAAGAAAGCAGTGAGGTCACCTACATGTGCTAATAATATATAACTTGTTGGATCTCTTGATGATTTTAAAGGCTCTGAAGACTTTCACAGATTTAGGATAACATAATGACTGATATCAGTAGCTGATTTCTGTGAGCTGCGCAGTGTTCAAGGTGCAAGCTCTCAAGGTATTTCAATTCCTCCACAGAGAGCTGCAATGGAAGACTGAAAACTGTTATTGTGATTTCTGTTTGCTCAGTCTAAAGTTTTTAGTCCTTTTTCTTTCAAAAATTCTGAGTGGGAAATTCTGCCCTCCTATCCTCTCTTAGCTGCAGCTCAGCTCACAAAACTACAAAGGGTTAAAAGGGGAGTGAACATCATTTGTGAATGGAGCCCTCCTACCTATGTTCCTGCGATGACAATGCGACAGTCCAGGAAGACGTGACACCCGGGGTTGTGTCTTTAGTCTGGTCTCTCTAGGGAAGTTCACATCGAATGATAACTAGAGCTAAAACATAAAAAGTCAGTAAAGTCACATTTGTAAAGTGTATGTGAACCCTCACCTTGTGAAACAACCCATTCGGTTTAAAATAAAAATCAAAGGCAAAACTTTTGTGTTTATGTATTTATATATAAAAATAATAAATACATTTTGCTTACAAACCCTCTAATCTCAGCTGTAAAAGGGTGTCAGAGAGGTGGGGGTGGGGACTGCAGGTGGGGCATGTCAGCAGGAGGTAGAGAAACAGCATACACTGACCTTCCCAGTGAATGGCTGTGCAGGTGGGGAGAAGCATGACAACCTAGGTCTGACCACTGGAGGACAGGCAGGCTGTTCTCCCAGCACAGTCAGAAAACTGACCACACTGGGATGGATGAGTTGCTATGCCTAGTGTGGTCAGTTTGAAACAGCAAAGCAGAGGGACTGGCGGGATCACGGATATTTCACACAAGGAAGCAATACAAAGAAAACAAGGTTCCTTTTTAGACAAGTAAATGGTACAACAGACACATATCAGGAATATTAAATTTGTGGTAGCATACACTGACTGCCAGCTAAATACACAGACAACATAAGTACAGTATTCTGGTTTGTGCCTGCCAGTGGATTGTTTTTTCTGTAAATCCTGTCCTGATTGTTACACAGGTCTGCCACACAGCACAGTCATGTGTAGGAGGGCAGGGGACCTGATTACTCTGCTGCAGTTCAGTAACAAATACAGGCCTTGTCTCTTCCCCAGCATGGACTGTGAGGGGGCGGCAGCAGATTAGCTCATCTCTCTGTCATTCTGCTCTCTCCTCCTATCAGCAAGATCCTTTTTTCAGGCACTGCCTGTTTCAGAGTTGACAACACTCTGTCCCTGTCAGATGTGCTTCTGCGTTGTCACCTTGTCACGCGGCATCTGATGGAGGCTATGTATAAACAGCTATGCCACCGCCGCCACTCATTGTGCAGACACGGTGTGCCATTGGCACCAGCCGGCCCTGAGCGATGACATGACCTATGAACAGTCATATGGAGACTTGTGGCGTCTCTTGTGCATGGACAGATTTGATATTTTCTTCCAGTTCTTTTATCCTTTGTGCAGTTAGTCCCTGGCCGTATACCACCCATGACAGTAACGGGGTGGTAGCTGGTCATGCAGGGAACATACAGTGTGGATGTTAGAAGGGAAGATCACGTGTCCTTGTTTCAGTGTCTGTACCATGGCAGTTGTGTGATCAGTGGGGTAATCTCCAGATCTTCTCTACACAGATGACATACTGCAGTATTACATCGGGCAGCTCCAGAGTTCGGTAGAGATGAGCCGCTGTGGATTCTCCCTGGCATTGGGTGCCCTGCCACGGTTCATGCTGAAGGGCAAGCTTCAACAGGTATGAGCAATGTCTGCACAGTGCCAGAGGGGCCCCGGGACTGGTGTCCTGCCAGGACCTTCTGCCACCTCCCTGAGTACTCAGAGGATATAGAAACTGTGACTCTGCACTAATTATCTGCATGCAAATGAGATACTAATACTAGTCATATGGCATAAGCACATTTCCTGCTGTCTCACCAACACATAGGCAATGTATAGGGGGAGAGCCCTGGGGTATGTCCTTGTCATGGACTGCTCACACACAGAGATTTATCTGGTATCTGTGTGCCAAGGAAGCCTGAGCAATCTGTGACCTCGACTTTTAGGTGAATACCAGCATGTTATTAACTATGTCTTACTGTTCACCAATCTAATCTAAGGGACATTCTTCCCACTGACCACCAATGTAAGGAGCATTCTTCCCACTGACCTCCAATGTAAGGGACATTCTTCCCACTGATCACCAATGTAAGGGACATTCTTCCCACTGATCACCAATGTAAGGAGCATTCTTCCCACTGACCCCCAATGTAAGGGACATTCTTCCCACTGATCACCAATGTAAGGGACATTCTTCCCACTGATCACCAATGTAAGGGACATTCTTCCCACTGATCACCAATGTAAGGGACATTCTTCCCACTGATCACCAATGTAAGGAGCATTCTTCCCACTGATCCCCAATGTAAGGGACATTCTTCCCACTGACCACCAATGTAAGGGACATTCTTCCCACTGACCCCCAATGTAAGGAACATTCTTCCCACTGACCACCAATGTAAGGGACATTCTTCCCACTGATCACCAATGTAAGGGACATTCTTCCCACTGACCCCCAATGTAAGGGACATTCTTCCCACTGACCACCAATGTAAGGGACATTCTTCCCACTGACCCCAATGTAAGGAACATTCTTCCCACTGACCCCAATGTAAGGAACATTCTTCCCACTGACCCCAATGTAAGGGGCATTCTTCCCACTGATCACCAATGTAAGGGACATTTTTCCCACTGATCACCAATGTAAGGGACATTCTTCCCACCGACCACCAATGTAAGGGACATTCTTCCCACCGACCACCAATGTAAGGGACATTCTTCCCACTGACCACCAATGTAAGGGACATTCTTCCCACTGATCACCAATGTAAGGGACATTCTTCCCACTTACCCCCAATGTAAGGGACATTCTTCCCACTTACCACCAATGTAAGGGACATTCTTCCCACCGACCACCAATGTAAGGGACATTCTTCCCACTGACCGCCAATGTAAGGGACATTCTTCTCTTTGATCACCAATGTAAGGGACATTCTTCCCACTGATAATCAATGTAAGGAACATTCTTCCCACTGACCACCAATGTAAGGGACATTCTTCCCACTGACCACCAATGTAAGGAGCATTCTTCCCACTGACCACCAATGTAAGGGACATTCTTCCCACTGACCCCCAATGTAAGGGACATTCTTCCCACTGATCACCAATGTAAGGGACATTCTTCCCACTGATCACCAATGTAAGGGACATTCTTCCCACTGACCCCCAATGTAAGGAGCATTCTTCCCACTGACCCCCAATGTAAGGGACATTCTTCCCACTGACCACCAATGTAAGGGACATTCTTCCCACTGACCACCAATGTAAGGGACATTCTTCCCTCTGATCCCCAATGTAAGGGACATTCTTCCCACTGACCACCAATGTAAGGGACATTCTTCCCACTGACCCCCAATGTAAGGGACATTCTTCCCACTGATCACCAATGTAAGGGACATTCTTCCCACTGACCCCCAATGTAAGGATCATTCTTCCCACTGACCACCAATGTAAGGGACATTCTTCCCACTGACCCCCAATGTAAGGGACATTCTTCCCACTGACCCCCAATGTAAGGGACATTCTTCCCACTGACCACCAATGTAAGGGACATTCTTCCCACTGACCCCCAATGTAAAGGACATTCTTCCCACTGACCCCCAATGTAAGGGACATTCTTCCCACTGACCCCCAATGTAAGGGACATTCTTCCCACTGACCCCCAATGTAAGGGACATTCTTCCCACTGACCCCCAATGTAAGGGACATTCTTCCCACTGATCACCAATGTAAGGGACATTCTTCCCACTGATCACCAATGTAAGGACATTCTTCCCACTGATCACCAATGTAAGGGACATTCTTCCCACTGATCACCAATGTAAGGACATTCTTCCCACTGACCCCCAATGTAAGGGACATTCTTCCCACTGATCACCAATGTAAGGACATTCTTCCCACTGATCACCAATGTAAGGACATTCTTCCCACTGATCACCAATGTAAGGACATTCTTCCCACTGATCACCAATGTAAGGGACATTCTTCCCACTGATCACCAATGTAAGGGACATTCTTCCCACTGACCACCAATGTAAGGGACATTCTTCCCACTGATCACCAATGTAAGGGACATTCTTCCCACTGACCCCCAATGTAAGGGACATTCTTCCCACTGATCACCAATTTAAGGGACATTCTTCCTACTGACCATCAATGTAAGGGACATTTGTGCTCAATGTGGGTTTTAGGAGCCCTACAAATTTTTAGGATGAATAAAGGCTCCTCTAGATGTTGTAGGTCAGGTGATGTGTGTGCTTCCAACCAACCACAATAAAGATTAGTTATGGACTCGAAACAAATCTTTATTGTGGTTGGTTTAAATGTATAATTGATTAGGGACTCCCAGGTCACTAGTTTATAGACCTTTAGGTTGTTTTCCTTTTGTTTATGATGTGTGTGGTTACAGACCAGCTGTGGAGCGCAGAATCTCTAATCGCAGATCTTATGTTTTTCTGGAAGGTCCTGGAAGGCCTGCAGAAGGTCACCTGCATCTCTCCGAAGGATGTCGGCTTTGCTGAAGCCAGAAGAGACGCCCTGAAGGCCCTATATCTGTATGTAATTTATTCTGCGAGATGCTTTAATCTGAAAAGATTGTTTTTATCCCCGGCGGGTATGTTTTGTTATGAAGATTGTATGGATATGGCAATGTAATGTGCCTGCAGGTACAATGATTCTTCCATTTTCTCTCAGTAAGCACCTACATGTATGGACATTTTTATTACATGATGGGATTTGTGTTCCCCGTCATTTCTCCGCCAGCATTTTTTTTTTTTTTTAACCTTTCCCCCATAATGGACGGTGGCAAAATCTTCACCACATACAAGATGGAGGGGAACCTGCTCAGTCATTGTTTGCTTCATAAAGCTCTCAGGATTGGAAGTTTCTGAAGGAAGGTCTGTACTGACTTATCTCAGTCTTCCATTCTGCCGTAGAGAAACACGAGAGAAAAAAATGATTTCTTCCTTCAGACACTTTTGCTCCGAAGGACTCATGCAGGCTTAAAGAGGTTGTATAAATCAGACATGAAATATGAAGAAAGCATATCCCTGTATAGTGTGTACTTGTCTCCATACAGAGCAATAAGTGTCATTTCTGTCTGCTTCCTCCTTCCTCTGCTATCAGCATGAATCACTTACGAAGTTTTCCTGACACCAACAGAAAAATGTTGACAGTGGGGGTGCTCCAGCAGATTGAGAGCCTCAGCTCTGTTCCTGTGTGCTGTGTGAAGGGGGGCGTGTTCCTTCTCTCCAATCAGCTCTCAGAGCTCTCCTTGCTGAGCTGTGCAGTGTGTAATGTCTGCTCTCTGCCCCCCTTTTTTCCAGAACTCTCAGACAAGCTTTAAAAATTCTCACTTTGTACGGATGTAGAGGGGAGATCGGAGTACATAAACATACCAATCATTAGGTGTGGTGGCTGCATTCGTTTTTCTTTTTTTTTTCCCACGTTTTTTCACCTGCTGATCTGACCAGTAACACACTTCCTGTATTAGATCGCCCCCACTCTGGATGATGGAGCACAGGGGACATTTTTGGGCAGCAGAATGGGCAGTCTAGGGGAAGGGGAGTGTTAGACTAGCAGATTTAAATACACTATACAAATATAAATACAAATTGAAGCCAAACTCCGCTTACCTTGCTTTTCGTATGCTCAGTCATTTTTTTGTTATCTGTTCAGCTCAGGATCGATTTGATTGATTGCTGAAGAAGAGTTCCGTTTTTATAGCTGCTGCATGTTCACTTGCAGAGGTCGTCGTGCGCTCTTCCCCAGAGGATTGCAGATTTGCGCAAAGCCGCTCTGTCTGCAGACACAGAAGCAGCACAGAAAGACTGCGGCTAAAGCGGACATCTGCTCTGCCAACAACACCTTTTCAGTGACAGTTGGTCATAGTCAATAAAGTTTTTTTTTTTTTTTGTTTTTTTTTCTTTAATTGATTGCTGTAAATAAATAAAAGCCATTTTTTCCCTATTTCCTCCACTTAAAGACCCGGCCTTATCTGACACTTTTTGTAAAAATCAGCTTTTTTTTGCTAGAAAATTGCTTAGAACCCCCAAACATTATATATTTGTAGCAGAGACCCTGGACAAATGGTGGGTTTTGAAATTTTTTTATGTTGCATGGTATATGCGCAGCAGTTTTTGAAACGCAAATATTTTGTAAAAAATACCCTCCGTTGAATTTTAATGCACACAAACACAATATAATACCCAATGTTTTTATTAAAATATAAACGATGGTGTTACGCCGAGTAAATAGATGCCTACCATGTCATGCTTTAAAATTTCCAGGGAAAAAAAACACTTGCTTTTTTATAAAAAAAAAAAAAAAGCTAGTAACGGCTTGCTTACATCAGACCAAACCCAGAAGTAATGAAATCTTCGTTGCTCTCAGTTTCTGACAACACACAGCGGAACAACATCTGTTCCTGTGTCAGGGGAAGCTGATGCCAGCTGTCACATCCTTACCAGGCTCCCCATTGGGACGGGAGAGCCCAGTAAAGAGAGTGGGGGAACTCCTACCGCCTGTAAAAGTGATCCAGTGGCTGTAAAGCTGCTAGGATCACTTTTATGTGATAGGGAATCGCCGGCTGTAAAGAACAATATCGGGATCATGACAGTAGCTGCAACCCAAGACCGTTTATAAAAGGCCTACAGACTGGAAGTGGTTAATATGACTTTCTCTGAGTCCTGTGATGTATGGATAGGAAATCAGGATTTTATGTACCTGTAAAATCCTTTTCTTGGAGTACATCACAAGACGTAGAGATCCCTTCCATTTTGTCTTTTCCTCATTGATTGCCACAAAACTGAGACATACCTGAACTGGGAGAGGTTATGCCATGGCGGAGATTCCTGCCTTTCTGTGGCCTGATGGTGGTCATGAATATGAAGTCATCTGTCCTGTGATGATGTACTTCACACACAGGATTTTACAGGACAACCAAAAATCCTAATTTGCACATCCTAACAGGAAACATTTTCTCTGACATATATTAACTCTTCCTCCGTCTGCTTTCCAGGGTCTGTCAGAGTGTGGGGGTCAGCGCCGATGGCTCACAGAACGACATATTGTGCGCAGACAACGTACCCCTCGTCTACAACACACTATTGGACAGCATGAACGACTACACCACCGACAGCCGGGGGGATGTGGGGGCATGGTAAGAGACTTCAAATCACCAGAAAGGGGTTTCTTTGTTGCATTTATTTGGGTACATAATTACTGGAATCGCATGAATAGGAGGACTGACTCCAAATTAACAATTTATTATTTATTACAGGTCCTTGTATAGTGCCATCAATTTATGCAGCTATATATATATATATATATATATATATATATATATATATATATATATATATAATTTTTTATTTTTTTTCACTTTATTTTAGTTGTGTGCCCCCCCCCCAAGGTCTCTGAAAGTGCATTCTCTGACCCATGAACCAGTCTGATGCAGACAGTTGATGTAAGGGGGTGCTCTGATGGCGAGAATTGATCAGATGTAAGGGGACACGGATGGGGAAAGTTGATGTAAGGAGGCACTCTGATGGGAACAACTGATGTAAAGGAGCACTTTTATGAGGACCCTGATGTAAGGGGGTACTCTAATGAGGATCACTGATCATATGTAAGGGGACACTTAATGTAAAGGGGCACTCTGATGCGGATAACTGATGTAAGGGGGCATTCTGATGGGAGCAACTGCTGTAAGGGGGCACTCTGATGTGGACACCTGATGTAAGAAGGCACTTTGATGAGGACCCTGATGTAAGGGGGTACTCTGATGAGGATAACTGATCATATGTAAGGGGACACTTGATGTAAAGGGGGACTCTGATGTAAAGGGGCACTCTGATGCGGATAACTGATGTAAGGGGGCATTCTGATGGGAGCAACTGATGTAAGGGGGCACTCTGATGTGGACACCTGATGTAAGGGGGCACTCTGATGAGGATAACTGATCATATATAAGGGAAAACTGATGGGGACAGTTGATGTAAAGGAGGACTCTGACTCTGGTGTATGAAGGCACTTTGATGGTGACACCAGATTTAAGGGGGCACTCTGATGGGTACACCTGATGTAAGGGGGCACTCTGATGGGTACACCTGATGTAAGGGGGCACTCTGATGGGGACTCTGATGTAAGGGGGGCATTCTGATGGGGACACCTGATGTAAGGGGGCACTCTGATGGGGACACCTGATGTAAGGGGGCTCTCTGATGGGGACACCTGATGTAAGGGGGCTCTCTGATGGGGACACCTGATGTAAGGGTGCACTCTGATGGGGACTATGATGTAAGTAGGCACTCTGATGGGGACTCTGATGTAAGGGGGCTCCTGCAGACTCTGACGAATTTTCAGTGCTAAAACTTCAGGCTAGTTGTTAGGAAACGACTCCAGCAAAGTCTGTCTGACAGTGGAAATGACAGTGACATCGGAGATAGGGATTTTAGCAGAAGCACAGGGATACGGATTTTCGAAGGGTGGACCCGGATGGACCGCTCACCTTTCATGGTCCCAACTTGGCCCCTATCTGCTCGGGGCCCTATAGGGCCACTAGGGAAATATGTCCTCCACAGGAGGTGAGATATTTTCCTATTCACAACTTGAATCCTCTTTCATACAACTCATGAACATGCCTGGAGAGATAGCAATAGACTGCACTGCGCTGTAC